TGACGAATCAAAGGGAACACGGCCAAACAATCCGACGCCTTGCCCACGAAGTGCGACGCCTTGCAGGTCGCTTTCTTCCGAGCCACGCTGAACATAAACGCTGGCGGTTTCCTGCCGCGTCTGCCAGTCCGCCACGCCGAGCAGCGATCCCGCCACGTTCCCCACGCGTCGGGGATGACATCCCTCACCGCCTTGAGGAGCGCAAGATTTCGACCTGCAAGGTCCCGCCGCTGGCCAGCATGGTATGCATGGGGTCCCTCACGTATGTGCTCGGCGGCGCCACCGTCCGCAACGCCTGGCACGCCGCCAGAGAACGGTCATCCAGAGTGATGCCCATTGCCGTCTCCTTCGGGGGCCGGAACATCAGAAGGGAAGGAAGGGGGGGACATCAGAAGGGGATCGATGGAAATGTTTTCCTCACTGGCTCCAGTCTCTCGATGTTCGCTCTGGTTGTCGTGTCCCGCAGCGACGCCAAATCATCATATTGCTGCAAAAACTCGTCTGACGACAGCGGGTCAAAGCGCGACGAGTCAGCGCACCAGAGAGGCACGAGGCAATCATCGTCGTCGTAGTCTGCAAGACATTCCGCCTGATCCAGCACAACGTTCTTGCATTGCAAGCACGGTCTCAGACCTGCAGCGCCCTTGGTGCAGAATGTCTCTTTTCCAGCCGCCTCGTCTGCAATCAAGCGGTGGAACTTGGCGAAAAAGTGCACGCCGCCGATTGGCGCACCGTGCTCCGACAGACTCTCGGGGCCCAGGAACAGCGCGCGAAGCAATGCCCGCGCCGCGGCCGAGCCGCCGATGCTCTTCTTCACGACGACGCGCAAGGTGCCGATCGGCAGCCACGCAACCTCCTTCTGCAAGAAGGATCCGAACTCGAGGAAACTCGCATACACCGCGAGCTGATTCCGACGATTATCTATCTTCAAGGCGTTGCCCACGCCAAGGTCGTCGTAGTACAGCAAAAGCCTCCACGGCCGATCGCGCGACACAGGGAAACGGCGCATCGCTTCCCAAAACATTGAACTCCAGAGAGGGCAGTCCGACAGGAGCCTCGGCATCAGCCGTTGCGGCAGCGCCACGCTCCATCGGAAAGGCGTGCCGATCTTGGGCTGCAGCCGCACTGCGCTGATGAGATCGGCCACGGATGCCGTCTGCGATCGCTGCATGGCCCGAGCGCTCACGTCTATAGCATCGCCCGCGTCGTCGCCATGGCCAAGCGCAGTCACGATTTGCTCGAGCAAAGCCGCGGACACGCCGCGCAGGGCCAGACACTGTTGCAGTCGAGCCCGCTGCTCCACCTGCTTGTCCACCTGCAGGGCGCGTTTCCCCATTGCGCCGACGCCCGCGCGCGGGAGGGGCGGGGGCGGGGGGCAGCGCGAGGCCCAGCGCGGTTGAGAAAAAACGAATTGCAGCCAGAGAGACGGAAGTGGAGGCGGGAATGGATCGCGGGGCGGAGTAGCCGCCGAAGGGCATGGCGGTGTAGCCGCCTGAAGGGTCGGGAGGGGCGGCGTAGCCGCCGAAGAGCGTGGGGGCGAGGGGGCATGGGGGAGGGGGGAGGGGGGAGGGGGGTGGGTGGGGGAGATTGCGGAGGCGCGAAGTGAGCGTAGCAACGGAACTTGCAAGGGAGATTTCTTTTTCTCGCACGCAATTTCGAGCTTGAGTTTCAAGCTCGGGTTCCAAGCCGCCACCGCTCGGAGACGGGCGCGGCTGGCGGCTCGAGCTCGGGACGGGCGCAGCGCGGGACGGGCGCGGCGGCGGCTGGCGGCTCTTAGTGCGGGTGCGCGTGCTGCCTCCAACTCCTCATCCACCTCCTCCTCCTCTCCTCATCCTGCCTCCTCTTCCTCCTAATCCTCCTCTATCGGCCCAGCCGATCGCCGCTCAGCTCTCCTGGTGCGGCTGGCGGCAGAAGAACCGAATGCCGCCTGGGATGTCCTGCACCATCTGCTTCGACATCTGGCACAGCATCTTGCCGCGCTCCTCGGTGCGGCGCGCCTCCTCCATCATGCGCCGCGCCTTTTCGATGAGCATCTGGCCCTTGATGCCAACGGCGCGTGCATGGCGGCAACGATTGCGCCACTCGATGAAGCGCACCACGATGGTCGCCCAGCTCCACGCACTGCCACCCGTGATGAGCTCGAAGTCATCGACGACGTACTTGTCCGCGATGCTCGCCATGGCGGCGCAAGACCGCGAAGGGGCACGACCTCGAGCGGCTCCACTTGAGCCACAAAGACTACGGATGAGGGGTGGGACGGTGGCAGATCATGTCATTGGGAAACGCGAGAGAACGGTGCGAGCGCGGTGGGCAGCAAAGGCGGCATCTCCGCCAAATGAAGGCAAGTCGGCATGTCCGCCAAGGGCTTGCGAGAGTGGAAAGGCGGCATCCCCGCCAAACGAAGGGCTGCGGTGGTAACGAGTGGGGTGGCGATGGCAACGAAGAAATGTTTTTTTTTTTTTTTTCAACAACAATAACAATTGTACGAAATCACACACCTCGTCATGAGCGGCCCAACTGCCGCCCCTGCCAAGGAGCTGCTTCGCCTCTGCTTCGTCTCCGACCGCCAATCGATGGGATTCCCAACGGTGTCGCTGGCCTTCGCGAGCCACAGCTCGCGCGGTAGGGTCTCGGGCAGGACGCTCTCGAGCAGGAGGGAGTTATGCAAGCGCTTCGCCTCGCCAAGTGAGGCATCGGAGCGCGATGAGCAGCAAAGGCGGCATCTCCGCCAAATGAAGGCAAGGCGGCATGTCCGCCAAGGGCTTGCGAGAGTGGGAAGGCGGCATCCCCGCCAAACGAAGGGCTGCGGTGGTAACGAGTGGGGTGGCGGTGGAAATGTTGTTTCACCAACAATAGCAATTGTACGAAATCACACACCTCGTCAGGAGCGGCCCAACTGCCGCCCCTGCTCACGAGCGGCCCAGCGGCCGCGGCTTATTCGGGTCCTTCTCCACCTTTTTCAGGCCGTACTTCATGATGTACTGTGCCACCATGGGGCGCTCAGGTGCTGTGCTTCTGCGCCTCCTTGAGCATCCCCGCGATGGCCCTCGCCGCCGAGCTCGCATCCTTCTGGATGCTGATGGCCTCGTCCTGCGTGATCGTCAACGCCACGCCGCTGTGCTCGCGCTTCTGCGCCACCGCCTTCATGACTGCCACAGACTTCCTCGCCGCCTTCGCGTTCTTCACAGCCCATGACGGCACCTTGTCCGCCTTCTCATGCTCGAGGTACCCGTCCAGCTCTGTCTCGAGCCCCGTTGCGGTGCCGATCCACTTCAGCGCCAGGTTTTTCTCCTGCGTCTCCTTCTTGGCCTGCTCGGCCTTCTCCCTCGCTTCCTGTCGCCTCCGCTCCTTCTCAGCGTCCTTATCCCTGCGGAGCCTTCGGGGTTGTCCGAAAATGACAACACTTCGAGCCGAGCGAAATCAATAGCCCGATCCGAACCTGAAGAGTTGAACGGAAACCGAAAACGAATGCGAAGCCCAGGCGACACCCCTGCGTTGAACCCCCAAACGGCCTGCTCTTGCCCCTGTCCTTGCTCTTGCCGCGGCTCTTGCTCCTGCCCTTGCGGCGGCTCTTGCTCCTGTCGCGGTCGCCGCGCGAGCGGCTCCTGCTGCGGTTGGTGTCGCGACATCTGTCGCGGCGTCTGCTCCTGCTGTCGCGCCTGCCCCTGCTGTCGCGCCTGCTCATGCTGCGCCTCCTCCTCCTGCGGCTGTCAGACCTGCGCCTGCGGCTCCGCCTGGATCTGGACATGTCGCTCTCGTCGCTTCTGTCGCCCTTGTCGCCGCCGTGCTCTGCGACGCCCGTCGAGGCCGCTGCCCGCGGGCCGCTCTGCTTCGCCTGCGTCCTCTTATCGGTGCACAGCTCGTTGCGCACTGCGGCCTCCAATGTCTCGCTCCAGGCCGCCTCCAATTGCGGCCTGTACGTCCACTCCCCGAGATCAGGGTTCCACCTCTTATCCTGCACATTATCTTCAATCTTTTTCGCGTCGAAGCCGTCGTGCGCCCACTTCCTCAGCGGAAGGTACTTGCCACCCTTGCGGACGCGCTCCTCCTCATCCGTTGGACAGTGATTGAGCTGACCACGAAGGCTTCAATGCGATCGAGGTTCGACAGCCCAGGATCTTCTGCCAGATCCTTGTAGAACTGCTGCTAGAACTCACTCTTCATTTTGGCGAAACACTTTGGCGGCCACTGTCCGAACCTCCGAGAAAGGCGCACCCCGTTCGTGTTGCACGCGTCGCACTGGTAAGTCGACTGGCCCTTCGCCTTGATCCTGTAGTTGCACTCCTTTGCCGTGCGACAGCAGCGGTTGCAACGCACGATGCTATCCTCGATGCCATGCACATCCACTAACTCCCCTACCTGGGGAGCGCCTGCTGGCGGATCGTCCTGAGCTGCCTCCTCCTCCTCCGCCTGCGGCGCTGCCGCCTCGGGCGAGCGCTCCTCATTCTCAACCTTGGCTACCGCGCCCTGCGGTGGAGCCTCTTCCTCCTCAAGCTCACGCTTGGCACTCTCAAGCTCATCCTGTTTAACGCCGAGCTCGGAACCAATCTCGTCGCCGCGCTCCTCGGAGCCCGATGCCGCCTCTGACGCTGCGTCGTCCGGCTCTGGTGGCAAAGCCGCTGCGCCCTGAGGAGGCAGTTCGTCGGCGGGAGCTGCGGCTGACGCAGCTTTGCGAGCCGTCCTCAACGCTGCGGGGTGCTTACCTTTGCCCTTGCCTTTGCTTTTCCCGCGTGCCTTCGGCGGCCCTGCGTCGGTCAATGCGAGCGGCGGCACAAGCTGTCCAGTCAGTGTCATCTGCGTCCCCGATCGCTTAGCTTTCCCACGGGGCTTCGCTGCGGGCGCCTTGGTCATCACTCCCTTGTTTTTCGGCCTGGCTGCTCCGAACATCACAGCCAGAGAATGCTGCTGGTGATCTTCAGCGGGCGGCGTCCCCGCCATGGCGGCGTGACCGCCTTGGCACGCGAGAAGCCGCGCGTCGCGCGCGGCCCTGATGCCAAGATGAGCTGGACGCGAATCGATGACGAAGAAAACGCGCGGTAAGTGAGGCGGGATAGCCGCCAGCGGAATAGCCGCTTCAAAGGTGGAGGGAGGGGTGGAGTGAGGTATGAAGGGGTCGGCATATCCGCCAGCGGACTCGCCGCTTGAGAGGGTGCAGGGGCGCGGCGAGGGAGGCGGATTGGCCGCCAGCGGACTAGCCGCTCGAAGCGTGGCGGACGCCCGAGGTGATACGGATACTGAAATGAATTGCGCGCAACATGACAACCACACAAAATTGACATCATGTTATCATATGTTATCATATGTTATCAGGCGTGTGATAACACCATGCTAACACATGATAACACCTGATAACATGTTATCAGGTGTTATCAGGTGTTATCAGGTGTTATCAGGCGCGTGATAACATATGCTAACATATGATAACAGCCAACGTTTTTTTTGCCAGTGCATGGCGGCGGCGTAGCGGCACGTCCGCCGAGTTAGTTAAGCGGAGCAGCAGGGGCGGAGCGGCGCCCTGCGCTACCGACCGCGGACGGCGCCGCGTGCTTCAAACCGCTGCCTGAGCGGCAGCGAAAAGACGGGCGAGCGCGGAAGCGAGGCTCGCTGCCTGAGCGGCAGCGAAGAGACGGGCGAGCGCGCGCAATCGGGGCGCGCTGCCTGAGCGTCATCATATGCAAGGCGATGGGGGGGTGGGCGGACAGGGCGATGCAGCACATCCAGAAAATAGCCGCACTCATTCTTATGCGGATGCAGTTTTCTCCACCCAGCCCTTTTGCCAAATCCCATCCAACCGCCCACCTGTCTTATCCGCCGAAGTTCCCTCACCTTCCTCCCGCTCCGCTCGTCCACTCGCCCCATATCGCCTTGCATTGGGGGACGGCTACTCGGCCGCCTGCGTGGCCAAAATTCACCTCGGCGTGGCGGCCTTCACAAATTGAGTGCGGATGGAGTGTGTGGGGGTGTCCTAATTTGTTCTGACACAGGGGTGTGGATTGAAATTGCGTTGGAGGAGTGGGAGGGGGGCGTGTAGGGCCGACGCGTCGCGCCGCCTGCGCGAATGAGGCAACTGATGCTGAGGCGACATCAGTGCTGCCAGCCGTGCACCTGCACCTACGAGGTCGCGTTGCGCACCAGCCAGCTCGCGAGCACGTCCTCGCACTCGGCGATGCATTGCTCCTCTTTGCGGAAAGCGTTCACCGCGCGCTCCGCTATCTGGGCGCACATCTGCGTCGCAGTACGCGCGCGGCGCAACGAGTCGAGCACAGCCTGGCACTGGGTGCCGTTGAGCACCACGATGCTATCGGGCGACATCTGGCTGGCCAACGCCGTGGACATCCTCAAGCCCGCCGTGGCTGACGAAGCTGCGCCTGACGATCCGCTGCCCTCCGAGAACGCGTCCTTCAGCTGGTGCGAGCGCTCCACGCGGGATTGTGGAGGGATTGGCGCCAGCTCGACCTTCGGCGCCCCCTTGCGCCTTTTGACGGAGCCCCAGTTGGCCTTCTCCTCCTCCCATTGGCGCCGCTCCGCGAGGTCGACTTCCCACGAGTCGGCCTCGAGTGCGACAGCAGCTACCTCCGCTTCGTCCCCGCTCAAGTCGTGGTACGGCGACACGCGAAGGTGGTTCACCAGCTTGTTCCTGGCCTCCTCCACTGTCTCTCCCTGGAACCACTTGCCGCCCCTTTTGCAGCTGCTGCTCTGTGGGCACTTGAAGCCGAACATGACGGTCTTCTCGCCCTGCTGGCCTGCCATGGCGGCAGGGCGAGAAGTGCACGGCTCGCGCAGGGGCGGCGTGGGGCGCGAGCCTGTGCGCGCCTAGATTCGAGCCGACACAGCGTCCCAACAACAAAAACATACATGTGTAAGAGGCGCGGTGGCATCGCACATTTCGGGATGCCAGCAGGCGGCGGCGGCGGTTTAGCCGCCAATGGAGGGCTCAGGGCGGCGTGGCCGCCAATGGGCGGTTTAGCCGCCAATGGGCGGCGTGGCCGCCAATGGAGGCTTCAGGGCGGTTTAGCCGCCAATGGGTGGCTCAGGGAAGGACTGGTGTTTTTTTCCAACCGCATAGACCAAACCCGATGCGCCGATGCTCGTATCTGAACGGCGGTTGTCCGCCAGGCGGGGGGAGGCGGCGCGTCCGCCAATGAGATAGATCGGCAACGCAGAGAGGGGAGGAGAGATGAGATGAGACGAGGCGGGGAGAGGCGGCGCGTCATGACGCGTCAGCGCGGATAGCTGCAACTATCCGCGCTCGAATTACGGAAGCTATGCACCCCAGCCCGCTTGCAGGTCCACGCGATCACCCTACACGAAGACATCTCCGCGGGCGGGCGGGCGCGGCTTCGCTGGCGGTGGTGCCATCTTGCTTGTCGGCTGCAGCCGACGCCCTGCCCTCGGCTGCACCATGCTGGGCTTCCCTGCTGGCGGCTGCCTGGTCTTCGGCGGCGGCGGCCCCATGGTCTTCGGCGGCGGAGGCGGAGCTGGAGGGTTCATATTGCCAGTCCCCCACGGCGCTTGCTGAGGCATCGTCTTGGGCAAGTTCGGCGCCATGGGCTCCCGATGCATCAGCTGAGGCTTGGGGACGTGCGCCTCGCGCACCCGCGGCGCTGCCTTGTTGCCGTGCAGCTTCGCATACATCTCGCGCTTTGCGCCACCTCGGTTCCCCCAGCGCTTCGCATTGGCGCGCCACGCCTGGCCCTGCCACGTCTGCGGCCCGCCCATGGCGGGGCCAGGCGGGCCGCGGTCGCGGAACTTCTTGTAGTCGTACTTCATCTGTACTCCTTGAGCACGGCGAGCACGGTCTCCGACCGCCAGTCGATGGGATTCCCAACGGGGTCGCTCAGCCAGGCTCGCAGCTGCGCCCTGAACGCCTCCACCGCGCTGGGATGCGCCTCCACCGCCTCGGGGGGCACTTCCACCACAGGCGTCGCGCCCCGCATGTGCGACGCGAGCTCCTTCACGAGAGCCGAGGGCGGGAAAGGCCGCTGCCGCGGGTCCCGCGGCGGTGACGTCGGCCCCCGCCTGCGAGGCGGCGTCGACGGTGCCCGCGGGTGGCGCGGGCTGCGCGATCGCGCTGGCTGCGCCGCCAACGTGGGCGCGCTGGCTGCCGACTGCCGCTGGCGGAGGAAGACCGATCCCCTGCGTTGTTGTCCACGCCCGCAAGGTCGGAGAGCAATTGCATCGCTGGCCCGAACATCTCCTGCGCCGAATCGCCAAAACAGTTCGACCGAGAGCGGCCAGCCAGTTTCGCGCGCGATGCGCGCGTCCCTGGCTACCGCACGCGGGGCCACTTGTTTTGGCGATGCAGCTGCCACCAACGCGTCGAACGCGCTGCCGCTGTCTGCCATGGCCGCGGCCGCAGTGCGCGGCGCCGAGCGCGACGCGGTGGCTGCGGCGCAGCCTCGGCGCGCGGGCCCCAGCCCACGCGTCGGCGCGAAAGGGGGGGGCCGACCCCGCGCGGGCTCGCGGGCACCCGCGGGCCGCGGGCTTGAACCGAAATGGCATCGGACGCGGAAGCGAGACTTCGGGAGGAGGGGGAGGGGGTTGCCCATGGACCCATTGAAGTCTTGGAGCTCCTCGAGCCCTCGGGGGCCTCTCAGAAGGGCCCCGCTGGTTCTTGCGACGGGGTCTCGGGGGAGGGGGCAGAGGGAGGGTGGCATTGGGAACCAGAAATATAAGTGAACTGGTGTCCCTTTGAATGTGCAGGTCTTGGTTCACTTGTTTTCGTCGTTGAACGGGCGGTGGCAACGTCGGTGCCTTCGCGCGCGCCCATGCCATTCTGGGTGAACGCCTTCGCCGTTCGAGCAGTGGGCGTCTCCCCGACGTTAGTTGGCGTGGGATCCCGTGCCTGACAGCGGAGAGGGGGGCGCAGGGACGTGGCGCGGGGGCGCGGAGTGGGCCGAGTAGGGGAGGGGGGCGGCGGCATGTCCGCCTGAAGGGCGGAGGAGCGCAAAGGGGTGGGGCGGGGGCGGCATGTCCGCCACGAGTTGAAGGCGAGAAGGCTGCGCTA